TGCGAGAGACGTGTCCAAACAGCCGACTATAAAAATTTTAATTACAAGAATTCGCGATCGTGTTGATCCTTCAACCATTCTCTATATTAAATCCTGGAAAAATTCGTAAAAATATATGAAACGAAATTGGAAAAAAAATCATTCTCGGGAACACTATTTGCGTTCAATGAAATTCCCTCAGTGGTTTCTTGACGTCATCGATCGACGTTCTGGTCGAAACAATAACACTTATTTCCTTTCCTCCGGTTTTTTAAAATAAAATCGATCTTCTGGAACTATCTAAAAATTCAAACCCATCCCGATGAATCATCGCGGTAGAATTTTCTTTTTTCTATTCTAAGATTCTTCTGCTCATAATTACGATCTTATTTCAAACAAGTAACGCCGATCAATAATACTATCAATTGAAGCGGCCGCGAAACGATCGCGATTTACGTGATAAACGTACGATTCGGAAGTGGGTTACTTTTATAAACAGAGGAATGAATGAGAAATTTTCGAACCTCCCAGGTGGTATCAATATTATATTAATAAACCATGATTACACGAGAATGTGTAATTTACATTCAGCCTTTCATTCTTATCTCCGTGACATATGAACCGAACACCGAAAGGACTTGGTTTAAACACTCGTAGTTGAATTAAAATCGCGTGTACATATTTTATCTTTGAACTGCATCTTCTACAGAGTACACGATTCTTTACAAAGATATTTACTAAACTGTATAATTAGCCTGTGAACGTACCGCTGTTCGAATACCTTCTTCTGTTTGTGTACACATGACGTGGACGCGCGTCGAGCGTGTAAGTAAAAACCACGTCAGAGTAACTCGTCGTCTGATTCATTATTAATAAGTTACGGGGAAGAGAACTTTGTCACTTCTAAACAATTTTTGTTCCTGGTACGCTCGACGCATAGAGAAGTTCGGATCATCGATCGAAATCCGAGGGACGAGAAATCATTGATTTAATTAATTAATTAATTAATTCGATGTTAGGCCAAGGTGGATCAGAGGAATGCGTTTAAAAATCGGCTGGAACTCTGTAAATCGCGCGTGTTACGATGAAATTGCATTAAGTTTTATCGCGACAAACGGGGTTAATTCGTTTTAAGGCCGCTCTTCAAAATTAAAGCTCGTTGTGACGTTTAACCGTCCTCCGGGATGCGAGCATCAAATCGAGGGTCTTTTATGCGAACCAGAAGCCTTTTACTATTTTCTGGATTTCGTAGCACCGAGTTTTTCCTCAAACTTATTTTATATTTTGATAAAGAATTTTTGAAAACATATTTATTCATGGAACAAGTTATCAAAGTTCGGATGGAAAGTTTTCGAGTACCGCGTGTCAACTTTCACCGTTCCTAAACCAGGAAAATTATAACAAAAAGTTTATATCAGTCCGTTGACTTGTATTCAATATTTGAATAGCTATTTAGCGAAATTAAGCTAGCAAAATTTCTAGTAGAGAAACTGCGATTTTCTCGTGATTCAGCAGTGAAAATTATCTTTCATACGATTTTAGCAACAAATTTAACGCTTCCCTTATTCTGATCGATCGTACGATAGGGTGAAAGTTTCTCTAATAGTTTACTGTATCAGTCGTCTACTTTAAAATTCAAGAGACATACTGTAGTAGAAAAATAATTAGACCATTTCCTTAATTACATATAATTGCGAGATAATTCAAAAAACACCAATTTATTTAAATGTTAAGTGCAGCAGTGACAATAACCATTGACTATTACTATAGAAATGACATTTTTAACTGTTCAAACCTTTAATTAGACACTGATAAAATTCTCTTATTGAATGAATCACTGGACGATCAAATATCAATCGGGTGTTATTATTCTATTCTGGTTCCAACTATTCCTAGACACGATGTACTTTAAGATACTTCGTTATTATTATTCATGTTAACCGCTCCGTAATTGGCGCACAAAAATGTACATTGATGGCCTCGTTCCCGTGATGTATGCGAACCGATGTTGCTCACTTCGAAACCCGTGCGTTTCGCGTTAATAAATTGCGACACGTGTAGCATAATCTAGCATACCAGAAATAAGTGATGTACCATGCTGAAAAATAGGCGAATCAGGTAGGCTCTGAGTTTGCCTTGGCATCCATAAAGAGAAATTTTAACTTGGCTATTTTATTCACAAAACATTTTTTGGCTAAGATGAAATATAGTTGAAGGAGCGTACTTGGAAGATGATGATTTTCGAAAGTGCGTTAAGAAGCTGATTTAATTTGCAAGGTGTTAAAATATTCTTCAGTGTGCATAACTGTTTATTACCTGAACGGGACACTTGGAAAAGAATCGAAGAAAAACAGAAACTACGTCGAAGCTGATCGATTGCATATTCTGAAAACTTAATTACTTTAAGCTGATCCAATTAACTTATTGCCAGCGGCTGATGTGACGCGTTAAATGCGCGAATCGATGATATTTACAGAAAAATGTCATGCTTAAAATAGGAAATAATTAGCGGCATTTCGTTTCAGACTAATCAAGTCTATTGTCTTTCGATAGATCGAAGGTATTTGATAGGGGTACCGGCTAGTGTTCGTATATATTTCAATTAGACGATAAATCACGATTACACGACCGGTCTTAATAAACAACAATACGCGGCGGGCTGTTTTTCCACCGCAAATAGATCCTCGATGCACTTGCCAAAACTTACGCAACCCTTTATCAGATACTTGCATTCGCTGGCATTCCGTAACCTACATTTCAAAAATACACAATCAGATTTGAGAAGCGGGCAGAAGCACGTGAAACGATCCCCGGGTTATTTATAACCAACCGATTTTCGCGACTATATTTTCGAAATTTGTTCGTCCTCCATAGGAAAGTGTCTTTCGGTTCATTCAACCAGAATTTCTATCGTCTATTCGTTTTAAAAATTTGCATCCTCTTTTATTTAAGATACAAACGTACAGAAACGCATCGAAAGGGTTAAACCTTCCCGTACATAATTTCCCTCATATTTTCAGAATTTTTTAAAAAAATATTACAATCCATCCTGTGCTCAAAATCACGATCTTCCCTTATCGTATTTGCCAGCCAAGTTTCACCGATACACGCGGCGGAGCAACTTTGTGGTCCCGGTTGCATCCTGGCGTGATTAATTCGTAACCGTGACGCTCGAACAACGGAAAAACTCGATTTTTTTCTCTCTCCAGCCTCCTCGTGTCTCTTCTCTCCCGGTCTGCTGTTTCTGATCGCGTTCAACACCGGCATTGTTTCTGCAATAGTGTGCCATCGGTGTTGGCTGCTCTTAGTATGCGCGGCCAGGATCGATGGTGCTCCAAACGTCTCTGTTAACTTTGCACACGTGTGTACACTGTACAGTCAAATAAACGTGAAAAAATTCAACGGTGCTCGGTTTCGCGTACACCCGAGGGATCGATATTTTTGCCTGGTAATTTAAATCCTTCTTCTCGTGACACATGTGACTGATTTCGATTGATCTTCAATGGGACTCGACATTTTGACGAGCGTATGGGTTTCATAAGGCCTCGTTACTGGGTCATTCAAGATCTACCTTTAACACTTTGACTGCCACGCTAGAGCCGTCGAAAATTCCATTATTTATATTTTTATTCATAATTTCAAGTGTCTAATTCGAGTATCTCCAATTAAGTAAGTCAAAGAATTCCTAATAATGAGTGATGGATTCCTATTGAAGTTCAAGTGATATGGGTAACATGACAGTCAAAGTGTTAAATCTGCCTTATTTCAAGCGACACTGGTAATTAAAAAATATTATAACATTGAATGCGGCGTTATATTTGTCATCGATTATCGCAATTTGACGGTGGTTATCAAAATTGAACCGCGTTACTGACCGCAACGCGTAAGCCGCTAAGCGTTCGAATAATGCAATATCGGTTCCATTCGAATGCCAATCTCGGTGACGTCTGCCTCGATTAAATTAATACCTCGATTTGCATCCTTCGGGAAAACACACCTGTGCAGAATACAGATGAAGAAAAAAAAAAAAGAATTAACATATGACGCGTTTCGAGGCAATCATCGCCGCGTTTGATCCCATTACGTTTGTCACCTATGGAAATTAACAGTTACCCTAACAGTTTCGTGTCGTTGGCCATCTGCCACTGGTACACAGATTTGCGACACGTTCCTCGTTTTCTCGTTCGTTTTTTGGCAGGATGCTTGGTACAGAAATGATGGCCGTTCAGAATTTCAGGTCCGAGCAAATGAGACTCGAAACACTGTTTGCTTTATTACTCGAAGTATAAATTGTCGAAATTTCGGAAACATCGCCGGCGAAGTAAAAGCTATTATTGTTGCACATTTCTGAGTTCTCATAGTCGTCTAGAGGAAATGTAGCTGGAAAATCTGGTTTTGCTCTCGGTTCACTTTCGAAACTCGTTTGCGAATATATTTCAGGATTTAATTCATTTTCTATTATTAGATCTATCTCTGGATAAATGGCTTTTTTACACCTGCCATTCACTGCTCGAAAATTTTCCCAACTTCAAACGCATTCCTTTGAAAATTGGATGAAGATCTAAAGTTAAAGTAGACACAGTTATCGTTCATCTAATTCGAAGCAATCCTCGTTAGAAATGTTTTCATCTTGCTAATAGCGATAGTATGCGAAACACAGCCGGTGGCGTATCGGAAGCGGTAATGTCGGGATTCAAGCTGGAAATTTGTTCCTTTTCACAGAACCCTACTAGTCCCACATTTTTTCCCCTTTGCCGAAGCCCACTTTTTACTGCTTGTCACGGGGACACGAGTCGATGGGACGTCACCGTGTACGGGCGTTTATTATCGACGAGAAAAACGTTGTTTGCCATGTCAGTAAGCGAACGGTGCTTCAACAATTCAAACTAGGCCAGCTTAAAGAAGCTACCTCCGTATAGACTTTCTGTAAATCTTTGCCGCTGCATGTACGAACCGAATTATCAATTCCTTGTCAATTCGTTCAACAGTTATTTATCTGCTATGTATTTTCTTTGTTACAGAATTGCCAGCCGAGGAGGGTAAGTCTTTCTACCTGAAAAGGTTTCTCTGTTCTATGACTATCGACACGATAAGCTCTTCCCCTGACGAACTGGCATCGATCTTGTACATACACAGTGTTCTGAGGTGACACTAGTTACAAATAGTTACTTAATTAATAATTTTTTCAAGGGAGAAAATTATCTTCATTTTCAGCACGAATTTTATTTTTATTTTTCTTGCAAAGGGTTGTATGGATTCTTTTATTGAATTGCAATTAGGAATTGATTAATTTTGATAAATGTCACGTAGAAAAAAGATAATCAGGGAAATAGGATAAGATACGACTTGATTAAATAACATAGTTGAATATTGAAAGCATCGAGCCACGATGACATAGATACACCGAGGTACGGATGAACGTCTAATGCCAGATCTCTGGCATTCATAGGTTCTCCCGAGGTTTCGGATCATGCAAAATCGAGGCTTCTCTCGTCCCGTATTGTTTACAGCTTCACGTGTAATCTGTCGTGCCCTTTGCTCCCTTAAAAATAGATGCACTTGTACGTAGTCGAGGCTTTTGGGCCTAGCTGATCCTAAAGAAAAGAGCAATGATGAAAATCAGTTGCGTTTAGTCTTGTTAATGTTCATCCAGTTAGTCGTGCAAGGTTGCTCTTTCAAGATATATTTAATAAGTCTTCTTTCGTCGCTAAGAATCCCCAAGAAACGGTCCTTTTATTCATCGCAAATACTTAATCAACCGATCGTGTGACCTAGTTTTCTCGTCTCACGATCCTCATTATCTCTCGTTAGGCGAGTACTTGATCGATCTCGAGAAATTCGCTAGATCCAATCGAACGACTTCAAAGGCATTGAATGGGGTAACGCGATTTCTGAAGGCGCGTATATCGAGCACTTAGTCCAACACGTGTAACGTTATGTCACCGGAGGAAGAGAAGTCACACGCAGATGGCTGCTGGATGATAGAAGACGTCGCTATCAAAGCAGGCCAGCCTCCGTGCTATACACTCGATGCACATTACCGTTTCACGTGCACACGCGTGTAGTATATGGCTGTGTATTTGGAGGAAGAGCCGATGGTAAACGTGTCAACCAGATCTGCAGCCGTTGTCTGATCGCACCGTTCCCTCTACCACTCGGTGCGCCAGTAATTGCATCCACATTATCCTCGATCAGCTCGACCCGCAAGATGCCTGTTCGCCTTCTAGCTTGACCTTCGATGCTAAATCGACCCCTTTTTCTCTTTGCTCTCACTTTCCAGCCTCTTAGTAGCCAGGGACACGTGACAATGAGATGTAGGCGGTGGATCGCTTTCTTAGAATTCATTGATTATTAGGCGCTTATTGGAGCTAGCAGGGATCTCAGAAATTTATATTTGAAAAAGAAACAGATTTATTTTAGATAAGTCTAGCGCTCCGAGTAATCGGAGTCATGGTGGCGAACGTAATTAGTCGCGATTGGAGAGAATGGCACGCGATTCGCAATCACGCGAATGGTGTTCCTGTTGAATATTCAATCGCGTAACCAGCTGGAAATCGCGAGCTTTTTCTAAGAAATAAAGAACGGTTAACCGGGACTGATGCAGCTTTTTTTTTCATTCTTATAATCAAACTGACATTTTGCTGGAGACTTGTTTTAATGTATCATGTTTATAATCAGCTCGTTGAAACTGTTGCGAGAGCAATATCGAGCTACTCGGTAAACTCGAGCCCTGAATTTATCGCTCGCTAATTAATTCAAGTAACGATCGAGCTTCCTTGCAGCCTTCAAAATGAATCGAGAAGTTTGAAAATTTTGGTACTCGGGTTAAATTAAAACATAAATTTCATTTATTATATTTCAAGGACTCCTGCGATGAAATTTATAAAAAGAAATGTAATTGTTCTTCCATTATCGGTGTCGTTATTTTTAACTGGACGGTGTTGAAATTCTTTTCCAAAAGGGCGCCGTTCGAGCCCGAAGTCCTAAAATGGTAACAGCCGTATTGATTTTCATCTCACGTAATAGCTCACTTCCGTTCCTGCCAGTTTTGTGTCGCGAGATGCACCGTTGACGCAGACCTAGCCAATCAAGGCCGCATTAATGAGATTTCTTTCATAATTTAATGACAGAGCGGAACCAGCGAAACCGGTAGGTCATCCAAGTAACTCGTTCCGCGTTTCAACCTGTCGCTGATCAACAATATCCGTATTGCGTGGACAAACGCGATGATGAAAGTGATGCTTGCACAACACTCGTTGAAAGAGACATTGATGACATATTGACCGTCGCGAAATCGCGTTTCGTTGCGTTACCTGCGGTCATTCGATTCGAATCAATTTCTTTTTATTTTATTCCATTCTTCTGGATTTTTTTTTTTATTTTATTTTATTCTTCGTGATTTCTCTTCGTATGTTATATATAACTTATTTATGCAAATTGGTAAAATCAAGATATCGTAATGAACCATTCGTCAACTGTATCATCGATGAAATCTAGGATTCTTTTCTAAAAAAAAAAAAAACCAATAAACGTGCTGGATATTTATGTAAATATACACTTTCACGATTGTGTACTTTTATTTCTAAAGAGGTGTTTAGTTTATTATGCAAATTTCGCGCATATCGTGAAAAAATTCATGGGATACTTCGTCCAGGTCGTATCACGGTGAAACGATGGTTAACCGGAAATTTAGAGTGCAGGGAACGGAACGTCGGCTAAAATTCCGACCAGAGATGCAAGGTGGTGAAAAGCGATCAGGCGGATGACGAGGTAGAAACGCGTTCCTGTAATTGGCTAGCAATCGGATTTTCACTGGTCTCTGGTCGTCGCCGTAGATTACAATTAATGAAATCGTCAACCGTAGAGCACGTTGGAACGATGTGACGTCAATCGCATACTGGCAAAAGGCACTTGCCATCAAGGACGCCAGGCCCTGCCCCCGATTACTATCAGCTTTACCATTCTTCTTCTTTTTTAATTTTTTTTTTTTTTTTTTTTAAAGCGAATCGATGAGAGACTTCTTCCAGATCGAACTTGAATTGCCAAGTCAACAGGTTGCTATTTTTCTTAGACGTTCGACGCGATGACCTTCGTTGGAACAGACTTCGTAGCCTTCCGACGATCCTAAAAAGTTGTACGACGCGAAAATTAGTGCCACCTCAGACGATTTCACTTTGTTGATAGTCAACCTTGAGAAACACTTGCAAACAGAAAAATGCCAGTTTGTGTCGCTTTTTGATTGCCAAATTAGGTGAACAATGTGGCATTTTCAAGGGAATGTCGTGTCGAAATTAAAAGTAGAAAAGAATTTTTTAATATCCAAATTTTTTCCTAATCAGCCTGTTAATTGCAAAGATTGAAAATACCATTCTTCTTAAATTAAAGAAAATAATCTTTTCCTAGTAGAAGAATGACTCAATTAACAGGTAATCAAAGGTGGAAGGATTGCGTGGGATCTAACTTGGACTTGTTTTCTGATTTCAGGAAAATCTATATGGCAACTCGTGTTGGAGCAATTCGATGACCTTTTAGTTAAGATTCTTCTGTTAGCCGCTATTATTTCTTTTGTACGTATATGTATTTATTGGTAATCTTAAGAAATTGATCGAATGATTATCATTTGCATCGGTAGTCTGTGAACGACGACAGGTTATTAATTAATCTAAAGTAGGATTATTCACATCGGCGGATAAAGAACAAAGAACGTATCTCGCTATCTGAAATACGTCAATTATGTACTACGTAGCCTGATCACGATGGAATCAATTCGATCGGATCCGAAGAAGCCGTATTCGGGAAATGTTTGAACCGTTCACGCCCGTTCATTGGCAACGAATGATCTCAGATGTAACGCGATGAACCGTTGAGCGTTGCTTTATTTTTAGATGTGACGTTCAAACCACGGTAATTAATAAAATCGAAGCAGTGCATTATTCCTCCGCGAGCCGTTAAGTAATTATTAGTTGCACGAAGTGTTGCTATGTTCGCGATAGAGAGGGGGGGATGGTTCAAGGCTCGTTCATTATAAATACATCTGGTTGCAAAGGTGAGAAAATAGCGCATCGATTATCTTGTCCTATGACACGAGACTCTCGTTACCTTTACGCACGTGTAGAGATTCCATTTCTCCGTTGTTCTCGGAGAATGTTCATATCATTAACGATAACAATGTCTTTCCAGTGAAATTGACGTAATTCGGATCGTTGTAAAACCTTTGTATCGTTTTCTCAAAAATTTTACATATGTTGTTTCCTAGGTATTAGCTTTATTTGAAGAGCACGAGGATGCATTCACGGCGTTCGTCGAGCCCTTCGTCATTTTGCTCATTCTCATCGCCAACGCCGTGGTCGGTGTTTGGCAAGAACGTAATGCCGAGTCTGCGATAGAAGCGTTGAAAGAGTACGAACCCGAAATGGGTAAGGTTTTACGATCGGACAAGGCCGGTGTTCAACGAATTCGCGCCAAGGAGATCGTACCCGGTGACATAGTCGAGGTGTCCGTCGGTGACAAGATCCCGGCCGATATTCGTCTCACCAAGATCTTCTCCACCACCCTCAGGATCGATCAATCTATCCTGACCGGTGAATCGGTCTCGGTGATCAAGCATACAGATCCTGTTCCCGATCCACGTGCCGTTAACCAGGTTGGTGCGATTTCAAATATTTTGCTTCGAGTTATATCCATCGACGAAGAGAAATATTTACAGAATCTTTTATGTTAATACAGGATAAGAAAAATATTTTATTCTCTGGTACGAACGTCGCGGCGGGCAAAGCCCGTGGCGTGGTCATTGGTACAGGCTTGAACACCGCCATCGGTAAGATCCGTACCGAGATGTCCGAGACCGAGGAGATCAAGACGCCTCTTCAACAGAAATTGGACGAGTTCGGCGAGCAATTGTCGAAAGTCATCTCCGTCATTTGCGTGGCTGTCTGGGCTATCAACATCGGTCACTTCAACGACCCCGCCCACGGTGGATCCTGGATCAAGGGTGCCATTTACTATTTCAAGATCGCCGTTGCTCTTGCCGTAGCCGCCATTCCCGAAGGTTTGCCGGCTGTGATCACCACTTGTCTGGCTTTGGGAACTCGTCGTATGGCCAAGAAAAATGCAATCGTGAGATCGTTACCCTCCGTCGAGACTCTGGGTTGTACCTCTGTTATCTGCTCGGATAAGACTGGTACTTTGACCACCAACCAGATGTCTGTTAGCCGGTAAGTCTTTAATTAATATCATCTAGTACATTGAAACAGGTCTGTTTAATGAATTACACGAATGTGTTCCACAGTATGTTCATCTTCGACAAAGTCGAGGGCAACGACAGCAGCTTCCACGAGTTCGAGATCACTGGATCAACCTACGAGCCCATCGGCGACCTCTACCTGAGAGGACAGAAGATCCGGGGCCAGGAATACGAGACTCTTCACGAGATCAGCACAATCTGCATCATGTGCAACGATTCTGCTATTGATTTCAACGAATTCAAACAAGCATTCGAAAAGGTCGGCGAAGCAACGGAGACTGCTCTGATCGTTCTCGCTGAGAAAATCAATCCGTTCGGAGTCCCTAAGAGCGGGCTGGACAGGCGTAACGGCGCCATCGTCGTTAGACAGGACATGGAGACGAAATGGAAGAAAGAATTCACTCTGGAATTCTCCCGCGATCGTAAATCCATGTCTTCTTACTGTGTTCCTCTGAAACCGTCGAAATTGGGCAACGGACCGAAGCTGTTCGTCAAGGGTGCCCCAGAAGGTGTCTTGGACAGGTGCACGCATGCTCGTGTCGGTTCTAACAAGGTTCCTCTCACCTCGACCCTGAAGAATCGTATCTTAGATCTGACTCGTCAATACGGAACGGGCAGGGACACTTTGCGTTGCCTTGCTCTCGCCACCGCTGATCACCCGATGAAACCTGACGACATGGACCTTGGCGACTCCACCAAGTTCTACACATACGAGAAGGATCTTACGTTCATTGGTGTCGTTGGTATGCTCGACCCGCCTCGCAAGGAAGTATTCGACTCGATTGTGAGGTGTCGCGCCGCTGGTATTCGCGTAATCGTTATCACTGGAGACAACAAGGCCACCGCTGAAGCTATCTGCAGACGCATCGGTGTGTTCACCGAGGATGAGGACACCACTGGAAAATCTTATTCCGGACGCGAGTTCGACGATCTTCCTGCGTCGGAACAGAAGGCGGCATGCGCTAGAGCTCGCCTCTTCTCTCGTGTAGAACCTGCTCACAAATCTAAGATCGTTGAGTACTTGCAGAGCATGAACGAAATCTCGGCCATGGTGAGTTTACATCGACGACGTATTGTTTCAGGTGCAGATTACTTGTATTAATTAATTTTTGTCTGATATTTATTTTCATCTGTTACAGACCGGTGACGGTGTGAACGATGCCCCTGCCTTGAAGAAAGCTGAGATCGGTATTGCTATGGGATCTGGAACTGCCGTAGCAAAGTCCGCCTCGGAGATGGTGTTGGCAGACGACAACTTCTCTTCGATCGTCGCTGCCGTTGAGGAAGGTCGTGCCATTTACAACAACATGAAACAGTTCATCCGTTATCTGATTTCTTCCAACATTGGTGAAGTCGTGAGGTTTGTATCGAGAAATTTCTGTCGATCTTCTGTAAAGAAATAACTTGATAATTATTTTAATCGTTACAGTATATTCTTGACTGCCGCTCTTGGTCTTCCCGAAGCTCTGATCCCTGTACAACTTCTCTGGGTCAATTTGGTTACTGATGGTCTTCCCGCCACTGCTCTTGGTTTCAATCCCCCCGACTTGGACATCATGAGCAAGGTAACGTTTCCAATGAATCGATCGATGTTTAATTATGTAAATTAAAAAAAAAAAATTATAATTATATCTATGATGCTACAGCCACCCCGTAAAGCCGACGAATCTCTTATTTCTGGCTGGTTGTTCTTCCGCTATTTGGCTATTGGTGGATACGTAGGTGCTGCAACCGTTGGATCAGCTGCATGGTGGTTCTTGTACAGTCCGCATGGTCCACAAATGAACTACTACCAACTGGTGATTATTAGATTAGGAAATTTGATCGTCTGATGTTTGATAATATACATGTAAAATTAAACTTTGAAACTCATAGACTCATCACTTGGCGTGCTTGGGCGGTGGTGACGAATTCAAGGGCGTTAACTGCAAGATCTTCACGGATCCTCATCCCATGACAATGGCCCTGTCTGTACTTGTAACTATTGAAATGTTGAATGCTATGAACAGGTAACAGGATATAAACGAACACCGTCTTTGTGAATGTTTGAGCTAGTATTAATTTGTTTTCTGTTGTTTTGTTTCCTTTCAGTTTATCTGAAAATCAGTCTCTCATCACTATGCCGCCGTGGTCTAACATGTGGCTCATTGCCTCTATGGCTCTTTCTTTCACACTCCACTTTGTCATCCTTTACGTCGACGTTCTTTCGGTATATTATTTAAAAACCAATCGATTTTATACCAAGTGTATATTACATTATTGACACGTTGTTACTACACATGTTTACTTCCTGTCTGTTTCAGTCCGTATTCCAAGTTACCCCTCTAACGGTCGAGGAGTGGGTTACCGTTATGAAGTTCTCCATTCCAGTGGTACTTCTCGACGAAACCCTGAAGTTCATTGCCAGAAAGTTCACAGATGGTGAGAATCCAATTTACACAGTGCATTGGATCGTTCTAATGTGGGCTGTGTTCTTTCGACTATTACGTATCTGTCCCATATAGAACATCCGTGAAAAAAAAAAAAAAAAGAAATGTTTAGTCTAACAGACGATGTTTTTCCTATGGAAAACATTTGCAACTGAGTTCTCGGACTTGCAATTGCATTTAAAACCGAAGTTCTTCCCCGTTGCCCGGGAAGCTCGAGATAAGTTATTAATTGAAGTGCGTTTAAGTGAGATTTTAACCAGTTTGACTGTTGTGCATGGTGTTAGTACAACCATACAGATTTGCCACCAAGGCCCACCATGCCCGCATCACACCGTACCCTGACGTCGTTCTACAATCATATACGGGTTTTAGTGGCTTCGAGTGATAAAAGAAAGAGACCCATCGCAATCAAAACAATTGTGATTGTTAAATTATTTTCTACGAGTGCCTTTTGAACATTTAACTTTCCTCCGCAACAAAGTACCCATTGATGTTTTTTCTAATTCAATGATTTGTTATTACATTCCGATCCTATCCTGTTGTACCTGCATGTCCTCTAAGCACATTGCACTTTATGAATAATAATTTTTTTTTTTCCTTGTAATTATTATAACAGTAGATCCTTAAATTTTAAATAGCAGCTGCACTCGTTAACTTATTTGTTGTTAATCTGGCAATTTTTTGTTCTATTTTTTTTTATTAGTTAAATCAATTTGTAGTAAAGTATAGTGTTTAAGAAAATTCTAAAAAAAAAAAAAAAATGGGAATCCAGGGAACATGTTGCACGATGTTTTGGTAATAGTCTTATTTTTCAGGCACTTCACTTTAACGCACACGCATAATTAGCTCACGGTGAACTTCTAATTGTTGCTCTTCTCTTTCTTTTCTAATTTATTCTTACTTTCCATTATCACCGCTTTCGTTGTTGCTTATTAACTAGAACCGAATTGTTGTTAATTAATTCCCCAGCATCAAGATTGTCTGCTTCGGTGAAGAGGTCAATGCTGGAACTGCCTGATCCGTTGCTGAAATGTCAACTCAAAGATTGTGCATGAAGTTTGAATTAATGGATCTCATTTTGAACCCGTACATACTATGTCTTCCTTCCCGTAGAGAAGTAATTGCATGCACAATTAAAAAAGGAAAAAAAAAAACCCTCGATGATGTACATCCTACTAAAACTCACCTCGTAGAACAATCGCTATCGATAGTTTGTAAATCCTGCTGTGCTTTACAAATTGTGATCGTTACTTCCACGATGATACTCAATTATTTTCTTCGCGATATCACGTCTAAACGATTGAATACTTAGCCTCGGTTCGATTTAGTTTGATTCAATTTCAACCGCGTTTCGAACACCTTTTATTACATCCGGTTTCATCGAATTAAACGAGCACGGCAGGATCACTCTACCATCTTTGCACTCTCATCGCATTCACTCTTTTACCTTTACGTGTACCTTACTGGGTGTGATTTACATGTTCGAACGATTAATGCCATGCAACAGATTTGTATACCACTAATTTAACAGATGCGGACTGCAAAGACTCGCGCGTGTAACATAAGAGAAGGAGACCGAAACTCGATCGTCTCTGCCAGTCCGTGTCTTGTATTAATCCCCTCGTTTCCCTCAGGATGGTGGTCTGAACACGAGCTACGCTCGTTATCTTATCTAAGTGTACATTTTTGTTCCTATTCACCGATCACGGCCAATATTTCCATTCTCATTCTTTCGCCGTTGAATGAAACGAACAGTAAATCATTGTAAAAAGAAAAGAAACGATTTACCTTTATTCTTATTTTACTCTTATGTAATATGTATAACGAAGAAGGTATCCAGCGAATCTCGAGTTCAGACATTGGCCGACAACAATCTTTATACACGCGCCACATGCGAAACGGAATATCCGGTCTCATCACGAGTTACGTGGGCCTCTTTAACGCATCTAACTGTCTCCTTTAGTCACATTTCTCATCCGGGGTTTTATAAATCATAATACTAGAGAGTATATATATATATATTGTTCGGCAGAATCGTGCCGTGTTTGTAAATGGTGAAACGCGCTAATCGAACCACTTCTCGGCCCCGTGCAAACGCAACAAGACTGACGATGTGGTTTCAAGAAGTGGTTCGTGTTTTCGCGTGAATACAACGTTTGTCCATCGTTCGTTCGACGCGAAAAAGTGCATAATTAATTTAACTGCGTTGGAAGCGTGGCGACGCGTCAACAACAGAGTCCTCGTTCGCAATTTAAAATACTAGTGTAATATATATATTATATACATAAATATTATTAATTAAACCGGTTAGGGCGTGATACTACTTTGGTATGGGCATAACTGAACTTAATTAGACGGGAGATCCGCGAAAAAATGATTTTCTTTTTTTTTCGCGAAGAGTATAGCGACGGTGGCGTGTAACGCGGGGTTCATGGATGGGCGCGTGACCGATGGACGGGGGGGGAGGGTAGCGCGTTGGGTGCAGCCATGGGTGCTCGTCAACGGGCACGCGCCGATCGGCACCGCTTACTTCGAATCCGTCGGGGAAACCCACTAACTTGTGTGTGTTTTGTTCGAATTTAACATAGAAGCAATTTACTCTTTTTTTCTTTTTGTACAGCGATATCACTGATATCAATCGAGTACCGGCAGATCTTCTTCGACGATTGATCCTGTGCGATCGCGCGACCGGGTGAAAAAATTCTGAATAAAAGCTAGTGTACTTTTTACGCTCTCGTCATTGCGTATCGCGTCGATGGCACAGAGATAGATCGCGAAGATCATGATTGCCGATACGAACGAAAACGGTCTGACGGCAGTTCACGACGCTCAATAAAACGTAAAACGTGAGAGAAACATATTCATTCTGTTTTTTGCGTTCGTTCATTCGACGTACCGAACGTTTGTAAGTACTTGGATTGTGTGGATTGTTTTTTCTGTTTTCTTCTGTTTCTTTTTTTTTCTTTTTTTCTTTTTGTTTCTCGTTTGTTCTTTTCTTTTCTTCCTCTCTGTTGACTTGGAAAAAGATCGATGACGAGGATGTCACGGAGAGGAAAGAGAACGCCAACGCTCCGCCGCGTTACGCAAGAGAAAATTGAATCGCTGGATTCGCGATGTCGGTGAAACGCGAGGATCTTCAACCTTTCTCACCCTATCCAAGAACCTTTTCATCCGTAGACGATATGATAGTTGCGAAATTTTTCTTCGAAACGCTTGTGAAATATCGCGTTTCTCACGCTCGCGAATCCAGCGAACGCTTGCCTGACGCTCTGACTAGCTAATCTAGTACGGTAAATGTTACGATGGTGATACCCACGGTCGCATCGTTCGTTCAGGAAGTACCTATTTCTAATGATAATAAGATAATATTAATAATATTAATGATGATAATAATGATTAATAACTTATAAATAGAGTGCGATTATATTTGAATGATTTGATGCATACGTTCGCCACAGACGCACGTTGTGGCGGATCGACGGTGTGATGATCCTAATTAATTAGACCCGCATCGACGGTCTAACGAACAAACCGGCAAGCGATTCGACGACGATAATATAGACAGAGAGAAGAAGGGATAAGAATGATTTGCATCGTGAATAGAAAAAACGGGATTCGCAATCACACGTGTCTCTTCGATTGTCGCGTTTCATCTCGAATCAAGACCGGAAGGTGAAAAAAATAAATAAATAAATAAATAAAAGTGAAAGTATACGTATTATCGCGAACGAATTATCGATAATTAGCGACGGTCCAACCTCTAGTGCGTTACTTGTTACATAAATAAATGAGGAAATGAAAAATAGGAATGATGTGTTAACTAAATGCGTGTTCGCATGTCAATGATCGGCCTACTATGATTAAAAGAAAAGAAACATAAAAAAAAAAAAGAGAGAGAAGAGAAATCGGTTGAAAGAGTAGAGTATCTCGCAGGAGAGTGGCATATGCCGCGTGTAAGAACATCGAACACTTAATACAATGTGAACTGTAATAAGTGTTTGTTTGCTCCACTCTGTCTCCATACACCTGTGTAATTTTCTATGCCTTTATCTCTCTGTCACCTGTTCACGTTCCTCTATTTCATTTAATCGTGATTGTACCTATCCTCTTACCGTATCAACATTTTTCAATACTCCTGGTTAACCCTTTGAGTGCAGACATTTTCGATCGTCACTTATTTTATTATTTTAATTTATAATTTTTTTGAAATTTCCGAGGTATACGCATCTGCAGCACTCAGAGGGTTAAAATTGTTACACAGACATCTGGTTGTAAACGTTTAAAGATCAAGAAAGATTTATACCCAGAGGTCTCTTTAACAATCTAACTGTTAGACCCTAAATCGTGAATGTATCAAGGAAATCATTCGCCTCATCAGTCATCAGCGTAACGAGAGATAAAAGAAATTCTATTGTTCGTTGAAAGAACGATTTTAATTAACATCGAATTCGTGTAAGTTTAACCATGAAACTGAAAACTGGACCAGCTGGAAAAGTGCAAACGACCACCACCATTTCCGCCTCGTTCCATCAATCATCATGGCCATTCTATGTCCCCAGAGTTGTTGTTTGTATTTCTGCATGCATTCTCTGGATCGGCAAGGAGAATAAAAAAAAATTCAGAAATGATACCGATATCGGCCTGGAATGACCATGTCCCTTGTTCGAGGAAGTTGCCCCTGAACACCGCAACCCGAAACACATTTTTTTTGCTAACTCCTGCCTGCTGGTGTGTGATACTATTCAGTCGAGGAGCGAACCAACGTCACTGGAACGTAAGGACGCTGTGAAATGGAATCAGGTAACAGAATTTTATTTCTAATTGTTTTTCATTGAATTTCTAATAACTTTATCTGTACACTGTGAGACGAGACATGATAATGACGATGACAGTCCCCGTATTAGATTTGTAGTTTCTACTTAGAGTGAGTTTTTCTTATAGAGTGAAATTATTTAAATGAATCTTCGTTTAATGCATTGCGTAATTATTGCAAGGTGTTAGATGCATTTTTAACTTATTTCGTCATTCATTAATTTATACATTTAAAATCATTAGGAAATCATTGTTCTTCTAATTTGATAGCAAATAATGATCAAGCATTTACTTTAATATTAATTTAAGCTTTCTTAATATTTCTGAAGACACCAAAGTCAACCCATAAGCAATGCATTAATCTAAGAAAAATCTTGGAGTAACTTAAAAATATTCCGATTAGACGGTGTAATTGTTGAATTTTCGTTGATAAAATTCCCACGGAATGACAGGAATCGACAGTGAGAGAAAGCACTCGACGCTACACGATACTTTTGCACATCCGGTACCACTGAACTTCCGGGCATGTACCGTTCGGTTTTCGACGTTACTTTCACCGATTGGATGTGCTCACGAGACGCGACGTTAACGAATGGCTACTTGTAATTAATCGAAATTACTTGGATATGCTTACAGTGGCACCGCCTGTGGTGATGACGAAATAAAGATCGAGAACGCGTCGGACGAAATCGACAGCAGTCCGGGACACGAGAAAAATCGTCGGAATGGCGCTTAAACGACACCCATCCGCAACAACTCGCAAGCTGATCGACAGGATCGAGCCGACAGATATCTTACGGACACTATCGACACGTACATATACACACACAGATCGGGGTGTACAAACTCATTAAAAAAAAAAGAAAAAGAAAAAAAAAACACATAAAAGATATTTTTAAAAGAAGAAAAAAAATACACGGAAGATGACAGTCCAGCTTGGGATGTTCAGGCGAGAGCGTTCTGTCGATGCAACAACCAAGTAGTTTTTTTTTTCCGGGAAATATAGTTTCAATTTAGGAGTACAGACTTTTCAAACTCGAGAATTTAGAGGGAGTCGAAGCGGCCAATCATGCAAAATAAGAAAACAAAGAAAATAAATAAAAAAAAAAATTTTAAAAAAACATTTTAAAAACGTCTAATCGGAGCAGCTGTTTCCGCGAGAGCATCGTAGAGACGGGTTGAAAACTAATCGGTGTGTCTGTGTTATGTTGCAGTAAGCGAAACGGTCGTCGACAAGTGGGTCTAGGCTTGTCACGCGATGTGCCACCGGCAACAATTTCTCTGCCAAGCACAAACAATGAACGAAAGAAAAAAAGAAAGAATGTCAGGAAAATAGTGTGAAAAATGAAAAAAAAAAAAGAAAGAAAAAGAAAAATGAAACAGAAGCTCAGCCAAGCAAAAAGACAGAGACGGACAGAGGCGGGACTTGACTCGCGCGATTGCTGCGAAATAACGGCCCTGCTGCGATATCATTTAGCGAACCAAAAAAAAAAATTCAAAACAAATTATAATAAAAGAAAATACTCGATAACTCATTGATCGACACGTCGATGAGATGCTCATGGGTGACCATAGGTCACTCTTTTCCCTGGCTAGCTAACGCACCCCCCACTCGCTGCACACCGCTCGCCGACGATGCTTCTCGTTCACGAATCACACCACCTTCGTCTAAGTATTCCGTTGTCGGTGATACGAAGAAAAAGAGTGTGTACAATTTTGTAGAACAGAGTGGTCCGTTAATGAAATCCTCCGTTAGAGGATAGCACCCTTAAGATCGATACGCGACGACGATCGGTAGAAGCTTTTATTTCCCATTATCTTTTTAATCAATTTATAATTACTCTTTGCTTCTAATACATTCTTCTTTTCTTTTGCCCCTGTCTGGCTCAATATTCCAAACGAAAGTTGTTCTTCAATTCGATACTTCTATTTTCTTCTTCCATTGAAACGTAACTTCTCGCTAAATACGCGTAACGCTTCCCTCGACACCTCGCGTCTTCCACGAGGAGGATCTACCCCTCAAACTTTACTCAGGATCCCTCAATCTAGCCTGTTGATTGGCTGGAGAGAAAGGAACACGGTGTCGAACGTGTTCGATGGACACTGTCGTGGAAATCAACCACTTTATCTAACTCGATCTTCTCGTACCGTCGTCGATCGCGTTTTTTTCGTTCATCCATTCAGACGGAAACTTCTTCGGGAAGATTCCAGGCCACGGAGAACACCGGACAGAAGCTCGTTAACTTATCCGATGACGACGATGCAGGACGACGAAACTGGACGGTTAAGCGGAGAGCAGCGCGGACCTCAAAGAAGAGCGTACTCCCTTTGTCGTTGGATCGAGTGGTACACTTTAGGACGATTTAAATAAACAAAGAAAAATAAAATTCATATATTATACGAACTGTATGATTGATCGGTGACGTAACTTTCAAACGGAGGCTTCCGTCGTCAAACACGATCGTTTAAACGAAGGTGATAGTCGGCGAAAAGGATCCATCCTATGATCGCGGAAGCCTCCTCGATGCTCACGAAACTTACGCCACTTGAGTAATCGATCGAAGCTCGCGAGATTTCAAATACCATTGTACATAAGAATTTTATCGTTACACGCGCGATGTTTAAAGAGATTATTGATTAATGTTAAGAGACATTAAATATATACATATATACATACATATATTTTTTTTTCTCGTAAAGAAAGCGCACAGAGATACATAAGAAGACGCGTCTTCGAGCGAGAACGATTCGACACGTGTCTGGAATTTCGAAGAACCGTTTTATTTTCTCCTCCCGACCTTATCGCTTTTCTTATCCCGATGATCCGAATGTTTCCCTTTGTCCGTCCCCCTCTCCCCCGACATTGGGAAAATTATTCTTCGAGCAACAATGAGAGATCCGGCAGAAACTGGATGTTAATTAATTTTGTTTGTAAAAGTGAAACGAAACGTTTGATTTATTCGTTGGAAATTTGTGTAACTTTCCTTTCTTTTTTGATAACTTTGCAATCAATGGAAACGATTAAACGCTTGTATCAAATGTGAGGATTATTTAAATGTTTGTAGAAAGCAAGTGTTGTTTGAATCTTTTGTCCGATTACTTAGAATGGTATCAAATCTAGGATCTATTTTTATAAAATGAACAAGTCTGTTTTAATCCTCGTAACAATAAATACAGCAGGAAACACGAGTTCTGTATTGTGGATATTACTTTTGACATTAAAGGTTCTATATTAATGGATTGTAATAATGTGAAAGTGAATAGTCGTTGTAAAATAGGTATTAAATGAACAATTTCACCGTTGAACCTTATCCAATTATCCCATATAATTTGTATTAATATCAATTTATCACTGAGAATTACTTTTCTGTTCAGATCAGATGATACAATTTTGAACACTTACCTGAATTCTTAAAAGAAATATTTTTAATGCCCCGTAAAAAATTATCCAAGGCATTTCAATGATCTCAGATCATTCTCGCTCGAATCGTCCGCGTTGAAATACGCGTCTGATAATTTTCTTCTGAAAATGGCGAGAGACCTGATTATTTTTAATGTAAGTACACGAACAGCTCTGTACGAATAAAGGTTTGAAAGTAAAAGAAGCTCCTGATCTCCATTGATTTCAATGCCCAACGCAGCGATCGAAATAATCAGGAATAATTAACACAGAGATTTTATAAAAATCTTTTTATTTCTATCCTATGAAGTATCACATTGTACAAGTTCGTTTCTTAACAAGAATCTACATCATTCACTCGTCAATCTCGCGCTTCATATTTACATCCTCGGTTTCCAATCAAAATTACATTCTATATTATACAATGGTCATTGGCGGAACTACGACTCCGGAAGCGATTCAACGAGTCGTTTGTCGAAGGGCGGATGGATCGAAGTTAAAGCGATTGTTAACTCAATGGCGTTTCTTTTGCGATCTCCTGTAGTCGCTGGTTATAAAGCTCGCGGATTTCTTTCAGAGGTTTCAGCAGGTATATCGGTACGTCGTCGTCTCGCCTCTGAAGCAAACGAAGAATAATAATCAATTCGAAAATATATTGAAAAAAGAGATTGTTAAATTAATTGAAAGAAAGATCGAATACCTGGAACAGAACTTCCCCCTCGAAGTCAACCAACTTCTGTTTCCTGGCTCTCAGTAGAAGACCCACGCATTTGTCGCTGATGTGAGTATAAATATTGAAGAGATCACCGAACGTGATCGCGATGATCTCTGGATCATCCCGGCAGGGTGTACCTTCTTGATAAATGATCTCGCAAAGTTCAAGCACCTCTTTGAGAATGTGGGCTGCTGCTTTGCGGCCACGCATAGCCGTCAGAGAACCAGCTTCCGGTCTGAAATGCATCAGGAAAAATGTCTATTAATTTATCTACTTAACCCATTAACTGCCAAATTTTTTTTTTCGAGATTTTTGGCCGGATAAGTTATACAGGTGGGCAAAATTTTAAAGGGTGATTCTAGGGATCGAAATAAGACGAAAATCAAGAATAACGAAATAGCGTTTGCGGCTTTGTTTTCCAGTAATTAATGTTTAAAAACTGTACCGACCCCTGCTGACCTGACGTTCAGGCGTCGGTGCTGGGCGGATTGCAGGTTTCAGGCGCTTTTTACTCGAAATTTTAAACGTTAATAACTGGAAAACAAAGCCGTAAACGCTATTTTGTTATTCTTGATTTTCGTCTTATTTTGATCCCTAGAATCACCCCTTAAAATATTGCCCACCTGTTGGACATAAAATTCCAAAATCCCCAAAAGGGGATCGTGGCAGCTAATGGGTTAATATTTGAATAATGATTCTTCTTATTTGGGATATTTATTTCGATGGGTAATGCTTTAAGAAGAATTGTACGACTCACCTGCCATATTCGTCCTTGGAAAATTTTCGTTTCTCGAGGTTCAATCCAGAGGTGAATGGATTCTTGCTCTGTTTCTCCTGGTGTTTGTTCGCGTTTTGTTCGAACATCGCCACTTTGTCGCTGAGTGATTCCTGAAACCGAACGAGTGTTTCCAAATTTAATTACTCTCAATTTTTCGTCGTCAGAAGCAATGTAATCTAACCGAATGACGAAGAAATGACAGTAGTCGTACGAAACGAATGAAAATAGAACGTTGACGAGAGAAGCTTTATGTAAGGAGCACTCGATAGTCAGACGAGGACTGACTTTGTTAGAACAACATCGAGGCTTCTAATCTTCGAATAACATGTCTGGGAAAGCATTCCTCGCACGTAATCGTGAAAGTAGCTTGCGAATGCATCGTCACAGGTTAGTTCTATAATTACTCGAGAATACTAATTCAATTTTCTTCGCGAAAGGAAAGATTCTGCGAAACTTACTTTCATTTTTATGAGAAGAATTGCGCGATTGAAAAATTGACGATTCGAGGGAACGTTTAAAGAGGGCAAGAGTGTCATGGTGAGGTTGATCAAGGTGGAATGTTGGAAGACGGCCAGTTTGGACCATTTAAAGAGCCATCGATGGCATGCTGACAAATTTTCGCGTACGTGCAACGCGGCAGCTGAATTTTATGAATCGACAAAAATGATAATATAATACTATAGTATATATGGTAGTAACTGATTATTTTGCTTCGTCAATTTGTCTATGGTTTCATTATAAAATTATAGAAAATTTAAATTGAACTTCCAAAAAAATTGAATGACATTTAAAATCTCCACTTCTTTAAATATAAAATTTAAAGAGAAGTTAAAAATTGATATAGCAACAATCAGGAGAGATAGAAAAAATTAAATATTAAAACAATTGGTGGTAGACCTATAACTATTTTTAAATTGAAAATAAATAAACATCTCGACAGAAGTTGACACTCTTTTGACAAAAACACCAGAATAATATGCCAAGATGGGAGCGTGTGGATTCAGTAGAACAAGTAGAGTTTTAATCAGACACCACGGTCAAGTTCATTGTCAAGTCTCGCACTGTTCACCGTACAAAAATATGCTTATCTAATTAACATAATTTAAAGCACCACTTTCAAAAGATACTCACAAGCATCACTGATGACATAGTTTCACCGTAAAGTAATACAAAAAGGAAGGATTAATTTAAAAAAAAGAAAAGACGAATGGTAGGGTATTAATACTGTTCGTTGAGAATTGATATCGAGAGAGAACCGATGATGTTGTTTCGAATGATCGCGGTTGTCGCGATTATCGCGGCTGTTGTTGCGCTCGTTTCGTTGACTCTCGTCTCGTGAATGCAGCGTCGCGACGCCGCGCGTCTTTTTATAAGATGCCAGCTACGTCAAATCACTCCCACCGGCGAAATTCCATCGAGAGACCGACAGAAATATTTACCGCGTTTTCGAGCCAATTCCGTGCGAATCCGAGGCCTTTCGATGCCAACACCGGAAACGATGATTCCGAGGCTACTACATCTTTCTTTTATTAATCAATGACTGACCGATTCATTCACGAACATTCGTGATGCCGTTTTCGTTGAACCCTTTGCTTTGTTTACGATCTTTGAAAACACTCGTGATTGAGAATTTTAAGAAGTCGATTCTGATCGATCAATTGTTAAGTGGAATAGTTTCTATTCAAGGAATTTGGTTTGAGTTGACATATTTTTCAATGGTAATTATTGGAAATAATAAATCTATTGCTATATGTATCATCAATTTTATATTAAGGATGAGAGTCTTCTAAAGTTCTTTCTTCTTTTTAGGGTTAATTCTAGACCCATGAATTACATTGATTCATGGAATACCGAGCTTCAAAGAAACGCGGGATATTTGCGTAAAAGTGAAAATACGCAAACGCGGCTAAATATTTTTCATTCCATGCTAATTTTAAATGTTGAGAATTCAATGAGATTCCACCAACTAATCTTTATTTTTGGAACCATCCATGGAAAGTAAATTCGAAAATGCAACTTTCTAAAATATTTCAAATATTTGGCGACAGAAATTTCGATGGTATTCGATAGAAGATCGGTAAAGTATTTGATAGAAAGATTGGAAATACGCTTCGACTGATTTATGCCGGTCTGAACGCGTTCCCCTGTCCGATCCAGCTCGTATATCGCCACTTTGTCAGTGATAAACCGACCCCCGTGTTCCGCGGTTAATTCGAGAGATCGAGACACGACAAACCTTCTTCTCGTTAGATTGCTACCGGTAACTCGTTCCGCTATTTTTTTGGCAACGCGAAGATTACCGAAGAGCCAATTTAGCTAGACGCCATTCCGGAGTAATTGGAACGCCAATAATAAATCGACGTTTCATTTTGCAGGAAACGGTTGACATATGGCTTGTGCAATACTTCTATTAAATCTTAATATAGCTTTGATCAATTTTAATTAAAGCGGTTGTTATTAAAATATTTGTAAATGTGAAAAATGTTACTTTTCTAAAGGAATGGTAAGAGAGATATTTTTATGAATCTACTGTCTAAAAACAGAATATTAATCAGCCTAATGTAATTTGCTTTTCACTGTCTTAAATTCGATTTAAAAGTCTTCACTGACCAACGCAACACAGGGTGAACTATGCTGATCATCCGATATGAATCATCTTCTAAATCGCTCGAACGCGTGGACGACGTTGAGAACGGCGTGTTCAATAGTGACGCATCGGAAGGTAAATTTAGTGCAACGTCCCCGGAAGAACGTGATGGCCACGCGGGTTCGTGGCATGCGCGTTTACTATTATCAGTGACTATACTCTGTATACAGATCTAACAAGAGTAGATATGCCTTGTAAGGAATGCAATGATGTAAGAGATGCAAAGATGTATCGAATACAGGGATATAAAGAAAGCAGGAATGTAAAGGCATGTAAGAGATGCAGGGGTGCCAAACTCCGCCGACATCAGGGGCCACATCCGATGCCGGCACTCCTCGGGCCGCGTGCTACGGAGTTCCTTTACATCCCTTGTTCCGTTACATATCTGCATCCCTTATATCTCTGCGTTCTTTTCATCCATACATTCTTTTCATCCCTACATTCCTTTCATCTACACATTCTTTTCATCCCTACATTCCTTATATCTCTTCATCCCTTAAATCCCTACATTCTTTTCATCCCTACATTCTCTTCATCCCTGCATTCCTTTCATCCCTGCATTCCTTTCATCCCTGCATTCCTTTCATCCCTGCATTCCTTTCATCCCTGCATTCCTTTCATCCCTGCATCCCTTTCATCTCTGCATTCCTTTCATCCCTACATTCCTTTCATCCCTACATTCCTTACATCTCTGCATCCTTATAATAAATATATTATAAAGACTGGTTCGAGTGAAGGTAAGTAAAGGTAAGTAAAGGTAAGTAAAGGTAAGTTAGTTCCTTTTTTCGCCGCCAGAGGGCACTGATTCGATATCGAAATTTTAGTTCAAATTTTTGCCGCTAAGGGGCGCTATTTTTTCGAGAATTTCGCGAGAAACCCGAGAAAACAGCGCCCCCTAGTGGCAAAAATTTGAACTAAAACTTCGATGTCGAATCAGCGCCATCTGGTTTCGGAAAAAGGAACTAAACCAGGCACCATTTTTGGCCCTCTGGCGGCAAAAATGTGAACTAAAATCTCGATGTCGGATCAGCGCCATCTGGTTTCGGAAAAAGGAACTAAACCAGGCACCATTTTTGGTCCTCTGGCGGCAAAAATGTGAACTAAAATCTCGATGTCGGATCAGCGCCATCTGGTTTCGGAAAAAGGAACTAAACCAGGCACTATTTTTGGCCCTCTGGCGGCAGAAATGTGAACTAAAATTTCGATGTCGAATCAGCGCCCTCTGGTGGCGAAAAAAGGAACTAAATTTGTATAAAATTTACGGCCTTATTGCCGTAAAAATTTCCACTCAATTTCAGGGAGGTACTGGGATGTATGGAATGCAGGAATATAAGTGATTCAAGGATGTAAAGGATACAAGCATATAAGGGATGCAGGGATGTAAGGGATGTTGGGATATAAAGAAGGCAGGAATGTGAGGAATGCAGGGATGTAAGGGATGTTGGGATATAAAGAAGGCAGGAATGTGAGGAATGCAGGGATGTAAGAGATGTTGGGATATAAAGAAGACAGGAAAATGTGAGGAATGCAGAGATGTAAAGGATGCAGGGATGTAAGGTATACAGAGATGTAAGAGATGGAAAGATGTAAGGAATACAGGGATATAAAGAAAGCAGGAATGTAAAGGATATAGGCATGTAAGGAATAGAGAGATGTAAGGGATGCCGGGATGTCGGGATGTAAGAAGGGCAAGGATGTAAGGGATGCAGGAATGTAAGAGAGATTCAAGAATACAAAGGATACTCGACAATAAAGACATGTCCAGTCTTTTATGTCTGTAGTCACTGCTATTATAGTCGAGGACGCCCGCTGACGTAGCTGTTCATTGATGGCTAGCGTTCGGCGACGCAAAAGCAAGCTAATTCCACGTTTCCGCCCGCTGACTAACCAATGGATGCTCCTTTTACGGTTCCACAGCCTCGATTCGCTTGAAATACGCTCGAAAAGATGTTTATTTACAAAACGAGACAACCACTTGAACTGTCGTCGAATCGAGTAGCATTGAATCAATTAATTTATTTATACGATCTATTAATTCATTCAAGTTGTTCTTGAATCCGGAAGAAGTACTTACGTTATTTGGTAATCGACAGAACAAAGCGGCCACTTTGCTATGAATAATTTATTTTCGAAATAGACGTCTCACCTGTTAATAGCAAAAATATCTGTTCACGCGTCAGAAAATGTTTACACGAGTTTCGGTCGTAGAAAAATGAAACGAAAGTTCACATATGCTTCGTGACGCTTGGGCGAGGACGTGGGCGAAAGTATTTTTCCATCTCGATTCTAAATTAGATCGTTAAGAAGCGTGTTGATCCAGTCGTGTTCGATATTTACTTCATTTTTCTATATAAAGTTCATGTCTGACATATGGTAGATTTAAATCACTTGTGGAGCCCTTAACAGTCTATAAATTATATTAATATAAACACAGACATTTATTAAATGCTCTGAGATAAATAGAATAATCCAGAGGAATATCAATATCTAATATCTTTTATTCAAATGGAGATTTTATTATCTATGGCTGGTAAATTACAGAGATTTCCACTGAACTAGTGTAATAGCCATGGCTGACAAAACTCAGGCTTATCTACTTAAACTTTCAATTCCGCAAATAATATTGAATTCATAACAAAGAAGAAACTTCGAAATAGAAAGGATTAATATTTATTAATTATTTCTTCTACAAACATATTCCAAAAGATCAAAGACTAATGATTGACGATCGAAAGAAACGGAGAAAATTAAACGACGACTCGAGCCAAAATTACTTCCCCGTCCCTCAGCTACCATAAGAAAGTTTCTAAAATTAATTTTAAGGAATTCGACGTGATTTTTATCGACGACCTTCGTGTAACGATGATCCTGGACATTCTTTCACCCCACCTCCGACGTCGCGTCGCAAAAATGCGATACAAGAGAACAGGAATGGCAAAGTTAATCTAACGTTACGTTGGGGAATCAGGCTTCGAGCACGTGCAGGATATAAATAATTCCATAAAGCACGGGTCCAATCTCTCGCTATATTTTTCTCTGTTCGAACAAAGCTAACAAGCGTATCTTTCAATTGTAAGAGAATGATAAAGAAAATAATAAAAGTAAGGAATAATTTTGTGTAATTAATCGGTGAGAAAGATTATTAATAATTGATTAAAAAACGACAGAGGAATTACGTTTATTCATTGTTATATTGTTATTCCTACAATTCAGAAAGGGAATGATTAATTAGACTATTAAACCGGCTTGCAATTAACTTTTTCTCAATGGATCTTCGTCAACGTCTGTATGCTCTTTCTCGTGATTTCTGTTCAATTGCGCAGCGATTTTATACTTTTTGGCAGGTGCCGTGAAATTCTAAAGTAATTAGGCGAATCCGCGTCAAGCGTATTACGTAACCGTGGCGGATTTGACTCATAAAATTTGCGAGATGACACTTGGTTGGGATTTAGATTCTTCCTGGCTGCACCATCTTCTTCTGTGACCGATGAAATTCTAAGATAAATCTATAACGCTCTGTAAAATCGTGACATTGCAAAATAATCGAACACCTTTGTTGTGACGTAGAGTCTAATGTAATTAAAGAATTAATTGATTAAAGAAATGTAGTTGGAAAAGGAGTGTTAAAAATACATTTAAGCGTTCGTGAAATTGCGAATTCGTTTAATGACGAAACAATAGCAATAGGTGGCAATTATTACGAAACGAGGAAGTAACTTACAAAGTCTTCAAGCTCGAAATTACGAAACAATGGTTAGTCGACGACGAAAGAAAGAAAGATAGCTCGGAGAAAGATTTCAAGCATCCAATCACGATCCGATGTAACACGATTGTCTAACATACTTTGCATATTTCTATGATCCAAGTGAATTGTGGATGCTTCGAAAATAAATTCGATTTATTACCGGAGGTTCTCGAATAAAATTTCTCTCGAAAATTATTAGATGAAAAATATTTGTTGGTCAATGTAGCGAGTTTCTATCAAAAGAAAAGTAGAAATTATGTGTTCTGTGGACAAGGGAGAGATCTGGCGCTTGACCAGAGTCCTGGATAAACGACCTTTCCGATGGACAACGACCCTCTTTTTCGTCTCTGTTTGAAATATCTTCGCCATTTCTTTCTTTTATTAAGAATGAAACAACTTCATTCTTTCTAAATTCCATATCTTATAGAAAAGAAGGAGGTAATTAGTCATATGTAATTAGTCAGAAATTATACAACTTCCTTTTCTAGGAACTATAAGATTACTATAGTTGTACTTTCTATATACATATTTAACGATTAAATAAGTTTTATTAATAAGTGTTGACTATTGGTATAAATGAAATATAAATTATTTTACACCTTTTAGCGCACCACAAAGTCGGTTGTATTTTTTGTTAAAAATTACTTTATATAGAGAAGAATTTTAATTATTTTAATATTCGTCACGTGTTGAATTAGAAATCACGGATTGTAAAATGAAAAATGGATTGGCAATTCTGCATCGCCGAAATCTTTTCGATGGTAGAATGCCAGAAAGCGAGGAAGAGAAATTCGAAACAGTGTCAACGACACTCGAGCAACAATTTGTCCATCGAGATTCCGAGATTTCCATCGTAACAGTTGAGAAAACGATTTGGCATTGGTTTCCACGTTAGTCATAAAATTCGTAATTAACAATCTGTTTTCTGACACCTGGATACTAGCCACATGTTACTCGTTCGAAACGGAAGACAATTTCGTGGTTCTGCGTTTGATTATTCATATTTTTATCAAGATATAATATTTCATGTACATAATATTTTCCCTTTGTTGGCAAGAAGAATGCTTAGGTTTTTTAAATAAAAGATTACAAAATCCAGATGTTGTTTATCATTTTGCAATTTAATGCTTGGTTTTTGGAATTTTTCTACGAGTCCATAAGAGGGGTGAAATTCATGATTTTATTTATTATTTTATTCCTTTACACGTGCCAATATGAGTCGTATTTTATTCTTTTTTGCGTATAAATTAATTATCGGAATAGCCCTGAAGGAGCCATCAGGGCGTCGGGCACCCTTTTGTTTAAAAAACAAAGAATACTTTATAGAGTACTGTGTATATTCTGCAGCAGTATCTTTATTTTCCTACGAATACAGATTCTTTATATATATATGCTTTTTTTATTTTAACGATACATTCATAAATATGTGAATATAACATTTACATGCGTTTTTGTTCAAATATACATAAATAGTACTGTTCGATGCTCGACAAGGTGAACAAAGATAAATTGTCGCGTTAATGAAACGCGTTTTTAACGTTAGTAGAAAAGATAAATATTTTGTTAAAACAGTAGAATGAGACTAGGTCAATTTATATAAATCATTTCTGAAATTTTCATAAACTTCTTCATTGAAGCAAGCTAATTTACAATTTTTTTCAGAATTGCTATATTAAGTTATATCAAAGTAATTGTCGAGTATTCGAAAATTTTCTAACAATAAGAGGTCGTGAAATATTAAGCCTCTGACAGAAAGTTTCTATTTTATTTGAAAAAATTAATAGTTTATAGATGGAACCGAGGCTTCGATAAAAGTCACTGTCTCGAGCAGCAATTTTTCTATGTACCCTTTTCTCGCAAAATATTCAAATATTTAGACAATCGTCTATAGTCGTTCTAAACGTTTAATACTAGATGGAATGACCATTGATCGGGCAATATAATACATACGATACCACGTTAAAATTAATGTCTTTACGAGTAATCTCTCTCGTTGATATTAATACAACGACTTGTTTATAATTACATGATTGCTAATTGCTTAAAGCTAACAACGTTTCACCGAAAAAAGAGATGTAGTACAAAGAGGTACTACCCATTGCTACCCTCAAGTTTTATGTACAAATTCTACTGTGATTGCATCGGATTTCAAATTATTGTACTACCTACATTTTAAACAGCTTCTGTTTCGTCTCAGAACTGAATGTCTCGAAAAATAAAACGCTCTTTCTTTCTCTTTCAACATTATGACACTCTTTTTCTCAATTTGCAAATGATAAATCATTCTTAACCACGCTATGGTACATTAAAATATAAAAACAAATAACAAAACCCCTTGCCTAATCATTTTTAAAAATTAAAATAATTGTACATAATTCTCCTCTAGCAATTGTCTGTAAATTTATATTAAAATTCGATTGAAATATAAAATAGTATTTTAGAAATGAAACAAGGGGTTGAACGTAGAAGAAACAACGAAGAATTACAATTTGATCGATGCGAATGATAAATGAAAAATATACAGATGTCGGCATTACAATAGAGAATTTTTTTCAAGAAAGAATACTACCCTAAGTTAAATATATATCATACAAATATCATTTTTCAATATACAGAATCTGGTGTCTGTATAGGAAAGAAGAAATAGTGACGATAGATTCAACATTAATGTTGCTGTAATATCATGTACACGTGCGTGTTTAAATATATGTATATATATAATGTATAATAATAATTTATAATCGTATTACAATAACATTAATACGTGGTGATGCTGCAAAAATCATCAGCGTGACCTTTTTGTCATCGTTAAAAGAATTTGTTCGTGTATTTGTGTGATTACGTATTCGAACAGAGAAAAATACGTAAAAAGGCATTAAATAACATTTAAAACCTCGAATCGAAAGTTTAGTTTCTTGTTCGTTAACGCGTTGATTGGCATAAAGGTCATCAGGGACCCCTGATGAATTTCATTTAGAAGTGAAATCATTCTTATTTTGGAATATTACACTTGCCACGTGCTATCTTATAATTAATATAATATTAACAATACATAAAATTTTCTTTAGAGTATTTTTATACTTATAAATTTGTAGCGTCTGTTATTAATGACCCCCATGACAATCAACGCGTTAATTGTTTTAATAGTGTATAATGCAATGTAGTTGCATTTCAATTACATTTTACTGTACAATATCGTTGTATTCTTTTTTACATGCTAATCGCAGCACTTTCTGTAAAAATATATATATATCCATGATTGGATAAATGTTCGCTTAAAACTTATCGTAAATGTCTTCGCGTAATGGAAAACGTATGGACGGCAGAAGTGGCATGCTGATCGTATATACTTACGCATAAATAATAAATTGAAATAATGAAGAAAAAAGATCTTTTAGTTCGGTTTATAAAACACGAATAATCGTCGAAGTTCCTGAAGAAGATTAACGACAATTTATCTTGTGCGAAAGTATATACATAGATCCCTTTGTAGCTCAAGCTCTTTCAGCATAATCTACTGATGTACTAATTAATTTAAAAAATTATGTCTTCTTCGAGTATATAAACTAAAGCGATTAACAGAACAGCACTTAGAATCTCACGAATAGAAATCATATTTCGGATTCATATTGATAATAGTGGTTCTAATATATTTTCGAGCAACAATAGCGATGATAGCAACAATAATATTAATTACATACTCGCATGTAATTAACGCGTTGATTGCCACTGGGGTCATCAGCTCTACCAATTTAATTTAATTGAATAAATAAAAAAAAAATGGTTATAGAAATAGTAAATCAATTCTTAATATCCTGTGACAGCCAACGTGTTAATATAATCGCTTCCGCGATCGAAAATGTGCAAATGAAATTTCTTCGACTAATTCTACCGTACGAAATAGACAATTATTATACAATACCTTTTAGGAACTTGAAACTCCATGATACCGTGTTTTACAAACACCTATCGTCGTTCGAATGAAAGTAATTAGAAAAAAAATGTACGAATTTAAATGACATGTAAAACGAAGAGCGAGTTCTTAAACAAAAATCGATACCATTACGTATTCGACGTACGTAACATATATAACAAGATGAATATTTAATATTACTTTGTACATCATTTCGTCTTTAACCAAAGCTTTTAGATCATCCCTCTTTATATGTGCACATGTGTGTGTGTGTACGTGATGCTTTCAATCCTTCTATTCGATCAGCATTCATTAACGTGCAAATATTTTCTTCATTTGTTTGATAATAATAGTAGTATTCTGTACATGATTGTAGATAACGTAGAAACCACTGAAAAGATACAATTTAATAGCCGATAGACTGATTGCGTTGCGGTCAGATTTAAAAAAATGATATTTACATGTTGCTATCGTTCAAAATATTACTTTCACAATTTTCAGTGAAAAGAAGAAAGTTGACGCTACGAAGATTGATAATCATCGAACATCAATTGTCGACTACTTCGTGTTTTTCAACGAAGTGTAAAAGTTTAAGATTCTGTTACATTACAATCTAATATCTTTGAGTCTCTACGATCTATCCGTTCCTAATGATCATTAAAATCGTCACGCTACACAATACATTATAATAACATATAAAATAGTTTGAGATTTATTCGACGATACATATATTACCAAATATATGGTGTATAATTTCATAATTGGAGAAAATAGAGATGGAGTACGTTACGAAGGCACAAGAAGGTCCTGTAGTACTTGAATTCACAATCTTCCTTTTTTTTGGAATAGAAACATGGATATCATTGGATTATGTCATGTTATAAAAATCAATCATTCGTCACAATCTCGATAAAAGTGCAATGTATATTCGGAATAATCGACACCATGTTTATTCTTACAAATATTCTGTAAGAGAAAGAAGAAATTATTATTAATGCTTAACATTTATCTGACATTCTTTAAGAAGAAACTATAGATTACCTCTTGTGGCTGTACAGTAGGCACACGAAACCTCAACGTTTTCCTGAGATAATGAGCAACGTCAAGAGGAAACGATTGATCTCCTCGTTGATTATTACTTTCAATATCAATTTTCAACTCAGTTTGTTGTTGTATCGCGTCTTTTGGACTGCATATCATAGATTCGTCGATGCCAGGATTCGTTAACGAAGTGCATTGTTGCACTACTTGCCCGTACCAAGGCATTCCGCTACAAGCACACGAAAAAGAAAAATTAGGAATATATTTTCATATACATTATTATCCTTAAAGTGGATACTGCAAACAATTGTTACACGTACACAAAATGCAACGTGAGACGAACGTCTGGCATGTACTTGGACAAAGGAATGATACAAGTAATATTATTCGGCGTATCCTGCGAGGATGCAGAGCAATACTTTTGATCGAGCGAAGTGTTAAAATTCTCCGCCACTATCCACAATTGTGGTTTAGGTTCTGGCGGCAATGATCCTGCGGCGTTACTGGCTACTTCCACCCAATCTCCACCGTTAGTTTCTCTTCTCGTCCTCTTATAAGAATGTATATAATTTTTCTGCAACGTGGAATATAGTTTTCAATGTTATTCCAGAACACTTCTAACAAAATATACATTTAATGTCTCACCTCTTTCACAAGTGTCTGCGTGCTAGGATCGGACGGGTTGATACCATTCTGAAAGCCTTTGGTTATCTTCCGTTTCTCTTCGTGTACGTTCAAAGGCTGTTCTATATGGTCTGCTAAAAATGGTAATCACCATTTTTATTATCATAAACAATAGTATTTTATCAAATGAGAATATAATATGAAACTTACGAATTGATTTCTTCTCTGGAGGGTGATCAGGTTGTGGCTCCTCAAACTGATGCATCTTGGTGGTGCAACAATGCACCTGAAACATACAATTTCAATCTAATGTAGAAAAGACAAAAGGAACAATAGCATATAAATAAATCAACTTGAAGAATGTTTACCTTACACGGATTTCCAAATTCGCTAAAATGTCTGGGACAATCTACTGGTCTACCTAAAGGTATGGGACCTTTGTTCAAAGTTGAAGATTCCACATCTGAACCCTGATCATTCTCATCCACATTACTGGGAACAACACCGGCCCCATTTCTGCTCAACCAGTTTCCAGGAAATTCACTGAAATGATATTTCATTTCAGTGAAATTAAATAAAAGCAAAGGAAAATGTAAATATCACGCGACAAGGAACATGTTAATCGATTTATCACAAACCTATTCTTTTCAAGTTTGGTTGAGTGAAACCAAGTTATTTCATGAGAGTAGTAATCTTGCTTCGTGCGCGGAGCCGAGGTGGAAAACGCGTCGCTTTTCACCGACAAACTGCTGTCTAAACCTCTGCTGTGCGATCCATGTTTAGTGTACAAGGAGGACAACGTACTACCCAATAAGGAGTTGTATCTTGGATCGTAATTAGGTGTACTCGATATTGTCGATGGATGGGCTGGTCTTATAGCCAACATTCCATTGCTGCTTACCGCCGGCCACTCGAAGCTGCTACGTTTCTGATACTCTAAGAAATACAACGTCGCCATTGCAACTAGGCTGAAAGTTAAATTATTTATTCAAGCATTCACAGTGCGGTTTTCATGGAAGGAAGATTATAGGTTTAGTCCATTCGTTTCGACACAGAGATTTTTAACATCAACTCGAAGTGATTGAAGCATCGCGTGAAGAATATAATTACCAAAATGCCATGATCAGGATAAGTATAACAATGACGATCTGGATGAACTTATTGCTACAAAGAAACTCGTCTTCTCGTTCATTTTTCTTCCCCTTTCCCTGTACAGTGGTCTTGCTAGATATCGTACTGATCGAACTTTTCAGACTGTCGTCTCTCTTTAACTTCGCTAACCGTTTATTTATTCGTTCCAGCTGGTCTATACGAGTTTCCAAGCTGTCTGTCACCTACGAATATCCAAACACCTTTAGAAAGATACATATTAAATAAAAACAATGTCCAATGATTATGATGAAAGAACAGTTATCTTACTTTACATAATTCTTTCACAGCACCAACATTTTCCATGAATATCCTCTCCTTGTTCACCACCAAAAAGTTCTCGATCCTTTGACCATTTGGAAGAACTATATCGCCCGCTGGGAGCACAGCTTCCGGTAGTATTTGTTGGACTTCCTGTGCAATTACGCCTGTATCCTCTTGCTGTTTAATACCTAGACCCGAATGCTGAGCGAATTCTGGAGCGTATCTGTAACGAACAACTCTCAACTGCTGTACGTTTCGCAGTTGTTCGCGCGTGTCTATTTCCTGTACGTTTTGCTTCGCTCGTGCGTCGCTGGGTTGAACAATATGACCCGTCACCTGTGACGTACGCATTTTAATAGGTAAACTCGCTTTGTAAGATAAAATGTTATGAAACGCAGGTAAAATAGATGAGCACCTTCATGTTGCCATGAACTACAAGAGCTTCGTCAGGCCTGTCTGTGTTAATTCCAACTCGACCAGCATGATAAACGCTGTCTGGAGCTGATCCTCTTTGCCAACCACCTTCGGCGCCAACACCGCTGCCTTCCGACTCGAATTGTCCTGGATTACTTGCCTAAATAAAATGCATACTTTCGTGTATACCTCCAGGAATTACTGGGAAAATAGTACTTGGTAAACTGGGTCAAATTATTAAAAATAATTACCCTGACGATTATTCTTTCTGACGCATGAGCCACCACTTGATAGCTAGCTTGGTCTGCGGTATGAGCATGCAATCCAACAACCAAATGAAAATATCTCTGATCCGGATTCGGTTTCCCTTTCTTCCTCATGTTATTACTGGTCGTTTCACTGAAGTGAAGACGACCAACCGTCACCTTGGTGACACGTTCACCGCCTAATTCCACCCTGAAAGCAGCTCTACTTTAGTGTGAAGCAAGGATTTTCGTGTCTTTCGTTAGAATTCAAATAATTTCGCACCAAAGGTTCCGAAAGGTTTGCACATCATTTTTCATTATATACCGATTGTAAAATGTAAAACGAAAAAAAAATGAACGATACACTGTCCTGATGATTTATTCTTATATTATTTTTCATTCTTATGTACACTTACGTCACCGGATGGAACGGTTTCTTGCTTCTGTCGCTCTGACTCTGTTCGACTCTGATCGTTTGAGTCGGAGATTCAACTTTAACGCCGTAAAAGTGTAACTGGAAGCTGCTTATTTTCTTCAGACCTTCGCCGGTTCTGACGAATATAGCTTCTCCTTGGAGCTGAGCATGGCAAGTAATCTGGAACACCGTGTTTAGGGCAATTACAGCATTATGTTCTTTTACGGGCTTCAATAATATGTAGAAGTTACCTTTGATAATTTCTACGAGAATAGATTCTAAACCAGGTCAATTACAATTGATTTCTTCATTTACCTGAAAATGATTTTTCTTCTGACAGACAAACGCGTCGTCCGAGTTACTGAAATTGAATCCCTTGTCCGCGTCCACCCGGTAATGGGGCACCGGAAGTTCCTTCAGATTGTGGTCGCAAAGAACGTGCCAGGATGTCTGCTGAAACGGATGGAAACGGATGCACTGGTAGCTAGCATCGATGTAACTGTTGTCTGCGACTTCGTCGCCATCGAGGACCGCGCTGCTGCTGCTACAACTGTGTTCCACTGTACCCAGTTCAGGTTCCTAAACGCATAGACCATTAAACTTGAGTAAATACTAATTAAAATTCAATTCGTTTCACTATTAACCCTTCGATGGTGGATCCTTGAAACAGAGTCAACTTAAATTTAATTCTTCATCGATCCACGATCAAAGGGTCAATCGATAGTATCATCCATTTTATTCTAAGAAGTAATTGATTAAAGAATTTTACTCGTTGCACCTGCTTTACATGGACAAGTCCATCCTGGCTCAATTTTCTCTTCTTAGGCGCCGATTGCAACGAAGAGTACAAGGTATTTATACCGCCAGGACTATGTTCATGCGGTAGAGGTACGAGATTCTGGGTTATCTGTTGTTGGGGTTGAATATTCGGGGTTCCTGGTCCAAGATGCGACGTTAAAACTGAATGCGTTAGAAGCATCGGATCCGTGGACGACGGTAAGGGTCTCGGCGAGGATGGTAACATATTTGGAGCATAATTCGCCTGATTGCCTTGATGATGGAGGAGCATTTCCTGTAGAGCTACCTTTTGATCTGAAACGTACGAGTTCAATTATAAACTATGATTAAGAGTATCGAGTTAATGAATGTTTGGTAAACTTACGTGGTGAGTGCACGTGTTGAGTATCGTTGTGACCTGGCGGCGAATACGGTGGTTCGCTACCGCTGTCCGGTGGACTTTCCGGTAACGCGTGTCTAAAAAATCAAATTTTCAATTTTTTAATTTTCCTAATAATTTCGTATTTGGATTCCGGTTAGATCGACTTACGGGTGAACGTACGATTGCGGATCCTTGTAAGTGGCGCCGTTTGGAACGGTCGTGGTACCGGATGTGCAAGTACTCGAGACCGGATGACTTTGAGCAATCGGCGAGGGTAATCGAGAGAGCGGTTGCTGAGTGGTTGTCGCTTCGACGCGGCCTCCATGGCTGGTCGGTCCACCCCCGTTTTCATTGTGAGCAAGGGTGTCCGCGAAATATCTGCAATTATCATCAACCAAAAATACTTAATCAATTCTCCTCAGGGCCGATCCTGAGATTTCGGGGTTCCGGGGTGAGCTCCTCAAATAAAAAAAAGTACCTCAAATAAAATTTATAAAATTAACAATAACTAATTTAGATTTGCATTTACATCGATTAATATTCAAGTAAACATTACTCTTCCTGCATTCTTAGACACAAAATCGTCTTATGGGGGCCCTAGGTGACCACCTATTCTGCCTAAGCCCAGGGCCGGCCCTGATTCTCTTCAAACGATATTGCTTGATTGACGAGTTGATTAATGAGTTGTTTTTTCTTTTTTTTTTTTTTGCACTCTGTTACGAAACTTGCATCACAATAGAAGCATATATGTATCCTCGTTTCTGGTTTCTCTGACATTGACCCACTGGCGCGCATTTATAAAATACCAGCATTCCTTTATTTCTTCGTTCATTCACGATAATCGCGAAGGAAAAAACAAAGTATTTAATGAATCAATCGGTACCGATGTTTACCGGATCGATTCTAATTCAATTACACGGTGGATAATCACTCTATGCCATTAATGAGACATTTTATTTTTAGATTCTCCACCTATGGGTTTCCATCAATTCTCCACTTCCGTATTTACGTTGAATAATAGAAACGATTATAGTAAATCACGCAATTATCTTGTCACTGTTTCGAGTATCAATTATCATAGAATTTATTTTTCTTATCTCTATTTATATACTCCTTGAAAATTTTTCATTCAACCTCACTTCGAAACGCTGAATCGAATCGATTACATTTAATTACGCTGTAAAGCTGTTAATGCGTGTAAAAAAGTAACTTGAGCAACGTCTACTTTCGGATCGAAACGGTCTTCGGTTTCTTGCAAAACGGTGCTAACGAACGTGTAAAGTAAATCACGCTACAGTAACTTCGAGAAACTCGTTCGTCTGAATTGAATAGACACCAGGCTGCGGGCAATTCAAGTTCGCTATTACCAAAGGATCTCTCGTTCAAGATAATTAATTGATTCTCACCAGAAAATCTATCACATTATGATAGCTGTGAGAAACTTAGAGAGGGAAAATGTTTGAAATTTTATTGGGAGAGCTAGAAAATGTGATAAATCGCGGGAAGTTGGTGGTAACACCACGACCTAACCAGAGATCAAGGGTGAAGAGCTCTTGTTCGTTTGATTCGTGAATGAAATCTGTTTCTGAGATCAACGCGGCGGGGGTCTTTAATGGGACGAGTGCGTTAGGTTGGATTACTAGGCCTAACGCGGCGAGCACTGATTCCATCAATTCCGTCCAGCCTGTCTCTGTCATTATATCATTACACCTCTGCGGTCGCTACCACACGATCTCTGTCTGCTATTCCAAACCACGCTTTCCACGAAGTATGGTCGATGGAAAGAGTATAATGCACTCGCAAAATCGCTCGGCCATCAACCCGTTCGTCGCTAACAATACGTAGTCTCTTCCGTGGTACGACACACGAATATGTTACCTATTTTCTTTATAAAATTATATGAAATTCAGTCCACGATACAGACGAGTTCGTCTGTGCTTCGATGGATTAATCAAACGTGGAATCAGGATCGTGTTTGCTGTGAACGAGTGTTCACGATGTAGGCGTCAACGATGGCTTCCCAGACACAATTGAAACACCATCGTCGTTCAGAGAAACGTTTGGAATTCATTTTTATTAAATAATAATGAATTTCAGATTATTAGATCATTATCAAACACTAAAACGAACAGAATTTTTCTGTTAATTTACTTTATAAAATAAGTGTTTATTCACGCAACTGTGTGAAAATGAAGAAATTTATTTTCGTAGTTAGATGCTTCAATTTTTTGCAAGAAATAACAGATTTTAGTAATTATATTTAATGTTTGAGGATGAATTTAATAGAGTCACGTCATCAGACGCTTCGATACGTTAATTGTTTCCATCAACAATCTTTTCCGAATTTTTGCAAAATATTTCATTCGCGTTAGGAAGTTTGTTATTACACGGGGAGCCTTGAAACGAACTAATTATCTAAAACTTGGAATACAGAAAAACGTTTCTAAAATTATTGTATCTTAAAATATAATTATTAACCCGTTCGTTGTTACGGGTAATTATGTTATATTTAAGAAGAGAAAAAGATACTCACGTGGCTGGCTGTTCGCTGTCGCTGTTAATGAAATCTTCCAATTGCGAGAAGTCCAGCCCTCCGTCGAAATCGTCCCGACCTGAATAAAAAGAAGAATCGAAATTTCAGTCGATCCTCTCTGCCTCGAATCGTTATCTGATAACAATCTTAAAATATCAAGATAAGGTTCACTGAATATAATTCCTAAAAAAGTGAAAATATTTTCCTCGTCTATATTATAATAAAAGAAAAGAATTCCATCGTCCTATAAAAATATTACACATAATTCAAATACCGCGTGTCGGAAAGAGAGAAACGATCGCGTGGGAGTATGGTGACGTTGTAGGTGAGAAGAATCAACATAAAAGAATGAATATATTTCTCGTCGAGGTCTTTGCAAAGGTCTTTCGACTGAATAACACGCGTAAGGGACTCGTTTCGAAATCATTCGAGCACGGATGTATAGCAGCTGAAACGGTGTCTATCCTTGAAATCTCGCATGCTTTTACTTTTAACGTGTTTATTAATATACACACACTTTGTCTTCTTTCTTACTAGTTCAAATAAAAAATGTAGCTACAAATATTTGACAAATTTCAACATCTGCGATTGAGATATTAAAATATTCCCCCGTTCTAATTATCTGTCGTTAATTTTAATTAGTGGAGAGTTAAGATTACTTTACAAAGCTGGCAATATATCCTTCGTTAACAGCGCAACTTGCTAAGAAAATAACGGACTCTCGGGTGAATTTACGAGTTCCCTGGAATACCAAACCGAATCACCATCAATTCTAGTTCGCCGAGAATGCTGTTTGACATAAATACTGTTCGTCCCAACAAACGTTCTAACGAAACGAGAATCGAGCAAGATTTCTCTCGATACCGATCGAATTTTCCTTCGCGAACTGGAAACTCGTAAATCAGAAACAAGCATCGTTCATGGTGGACATTTATCAGCCAGGATGAAATTCCATGGATCCACGGCAATGAACATCTATCCGTGTACGTTGACACTTTGTTCGTTCAACTGTGTCGTCTTCGAGCGCCAATTGCCCGTGAAATTTTCACCCTATCCGTTCAATGAATCCACACTTTCTCCCACGCTTCGATCATTACGGAAGTTGATCTAATGAAAATCCTTCTAAATATCGAAGAGATCATAAATGAAGGGGAGAAATAAAATTCGAAGAGACCCTTAAAAGAGCAACGGAGAATCAGGTCGGATGTGAACGTAAACGTTTGCATCGTATGGTGAACACAATACGATCACGTAGCTTGGCCACATTTAAGCGTTTAAGACTCCATGTCAAGTGTCATAACTCGTTGTTTCCGGTCGGCCATTCACGCTACCCGGGCAAGTGTAAGGGCGCCTTTAAGACATCGTACGAGCCCCGTTGCTATCAATGAGCGCTACCATATTCATGATCGACGAACTAACTCATTGTTCCTTCGTCAAGGATAACATTCGATCGTTCCATCATTCAAATATTAGATCAACCAGAAAGTTTCGTCCCCTTCTATAAAACATCACAACGGTGGCAGCCATTTCGAAGAATATTATTTTTGCATCGAGTCCATTATTTCCTTATTAATGGCTACTAAGAATCCTGCGGCATAAATTAATGGCCACTTATTCTCTCGTTTTATAAAATCGTCGAATATGCGATTGTCATTTGCGATGCCCATAAATATAAAGGCAGATGAAGGATGTGCATTAAAACCAGTTGACGTTTTAACCAAACCTGTTTTCAATCAGCCACGTAACAATTTCCGTGTGAATCTTCCTTTAAAGTGTTTTAAACTTGTATCTATGAAATTGATGGAATTGGAATGAGCAAAAATGTAGTCGAACTTCCAATGATTAAAATACAAGAATATACAATATTTATTCGATTTTGCAATATGCAAATGAGCATTTTTTTCTATTTTTTTTATTTTCTATTTCTAGCTCTTCTCTTGGTTTTTTCCTTCGGGGAAAAATATCAGAAATCGCTCTTCTCTTGAAGACGGGAGACAATCAAGTTTGTTAATCGAGGTTCAACTATAAGCCATTTTAAAATGGCTACCAAGAAAAGTACAAGGAAAATGAGTTCATAGAAGGAAGAGAAAGATAATGTACGCGACAGAAATTCACGAGGGGTGAATTACTTCGGTGGTTGGATCGTTGCCAACCAATCCCTCTTCGGAGTATCGACCAAACACCACCCCTGCTTGCAACAAAATGGACTCCGAAATCTGAATATCATTAGAATAGCTGAATGTTCCTTAAATATAGACAAACAGCTATAATTTTAACTATATTATTCTTCTTTCAAACCATGTTTGCTTCCTCGCACGGTGAAAGAAGAAAACAGAAACAGAAAGTGAAAAAAAAAAAGAGCGCAGCTCGTAAAGAGAATTTTATTGTCCGTTGTGCAAATTCGTACGCGGCAGGATGAATAACTTTCTAAGATAAAAAGATTGTCCTTTTCCATGGTATACCGTGTGTAAACCTCCATCGACGACGCAAAGTTTCACCGAGTTTCTGCCTTTTGCGTAATAATTACATTGTTATTAGGAACAAAGCAAGAGGAAGTCGTTAGCGACTCGGCGAATCGCGGTCGTGACGGTCGTACATTAAATCGGGCAACGAAAAAATCGCGAAATTATAAAGGATCGTCGGAAGATTCCCAATATTATTCCAAGAATGGAAAAGAAAATTCTTCTTCTCGATTCACGGTCGGAACGAAACTTTGATACCGAACAGAAACGTTATCGTTCCGTCCATCGAAACTCTGGCGGATAGTCGAAATTAGATCTTGTTTCGTGCAATTACCGATTGTTCGATGGTGTTACAATGTTTACGTAAGTATCGTGCACGAACATGTTCGAACCGTGGTTTCGATGGACCAAACTAACCTTGATTAAGTGATTTCATGGATCACTTTGGATCGAGCATCGATCTCTTTGAAGCGTTCATGGTTGCTCAACGGGTCAAGGTTTTCGCGTGAATACACCTTCTATCCATTCTTAGTCAAGGATTTCATTTCAGAAGTTGGTGAACATTTTCAAATTCAACAGAGGTAATAGAGTTTGTTAAAAAAATTTCTCGTTAATCTTTCATCCGCGTACTCCTATTAGCGTCTCTAATGATGATTATCTCGAAGGTCGCGATGAAAATCAGTCTCAATCGCGTTGAAAATTTACTACACCGGCTAAAAGCGGTAAAATTTGCGTGCACTCGACGCGTAACAAAGCACACGTCAGATTGGTGGATATATTATAACAGGCGACACGTGTGCCCGTCGATATAACAGCTTGTTGCACGTGTTCCTTTCGTGTACGGATAGAAGTCGTTCGGAAAATTAATTTTATTTATTAAACAAGCGAAAATAAACCAGAGCGAGATTCGCTCTAGAGCCAACCCTTTTTCGGCCATCGTTGAGATTTTGACCAACTACACACAATGGCGCAAGAATTTTTTCGTACAAAAGTGACAGAAAGTCTAAATGCTTAGCTCCCTTATAAAGATTTTCAATCTTCGATACGGGTTAGCTAATAAATAAATGAAATGATGTTCTTACGTTTGGAATCGAAGGAAAAATTTCTATAAAGAAATTCCCATGGATTAGAGTTTCAACGTAGCTAAGTATAGACCAAGGAAGTATGCATGAATGCATTCTACTTTCTTCATTTGCAACCAAACACATTGACTTGGAAGAGAAAAAGACACACGTTGATCTAGCAACTTCCTGAACGAAATAGAAACGTCGCGTTTCAAGACAATTTTAATTGCAAGTCGGTCGCCATAAAAATACCTCCACACTTTTGTTCGGTTCAGTTGATCGAGCAACACCGAACGATGCAAAACAACTAGCGTATAGGTGCTCTCAGGCGACTTTCTCCGACAAAGCAAATAGAAATGCACTGTAAATAGTAGTTCGAGCCGTGTCGCCTCTATGAAAATTAGCCCGCTTTCGTTCACCGTCGTAAAAACGTCCGTTCGTCAACGCTCCGTTGGCCATCGGGTTGGTAATTATCAGTAGTCGAAATGACAATGCAAAATATTATTAATTAAACGATATAATTATCATTTCTATTGTCAGCACGAAAGCAATGTATATTTCTAATATTTTGTAGAAATTCGAAAACATAGCATAGAGCACCCTTCAAATGCTCACCTGTCGTTGGAATTAATTTTCCAAGGGATCGCTTTTCAACCAGCTGACGACGCTTTCGCGCAAACCGGAAGAACGCTTAAACGGAGGAAGTTAATCGAGCCGATTCGACGATTTCACCCCTTAATCGTTGGGGTGAGTACAGCTGCCGAATTCACGGTTACCGCCTTAGCGATTAGGGAACGCAAACTATGTTTTTTTTTTTTTTTTTCACGGCAATTACATGGTCACGAAGGGACGAACTGGACAGGTGTTAAACCCCTCGGGCATTAACAGGATTTTCAACGATAAACATGCGACACGTTTTGATGGGTGTCGAAAGACGTCACGTGGCGATTGCGGGTTCCACGATTATATAATTTTTTAGTACTTTGAAGAGACAGAAATTGAATGAAAAATTAATTATTGATCGTGATATCAGGCACCGCTGTTTCAACTTTGCTAATCGATCTGTTAACTGAAAAATCCTCCTCTACGCAATCGTTGTTGATATTTAATAACCGGTCTCGCGAAGTGTCCCCATTTCCAAATGAATCAGAAAATTATTCTCAAAAAGCGACCAGTTCTCGATTACACGGCCAGTCACCCTGAACAGACATTTCACGTTTCTGCAAAGTTACCTGCGACAGATAGTAATCGACGAGTAGAGACCTGACCGATCGCCGAATCCTCGTGATGATCGGTTTGATGATGAACGCGTCCGTTTTGAACGGGATCGGTATTCTGGTGCTGCAGAGTCCACGGGAATTCCATATCGAATGTTTCAAGAACCTTCGGTCACTCTCGATGGAATGTCTTACAAAATATCACGATAACACTGAGTCACTACATAATTCCGATTCGAAAGTCAATTCAACGACGGAAGTTACACTAACCAGGCAAATCGGATAGTTCCATATTAACGAAATTATCCTCGGTGACTAGGAAAAGTTCGTCGAATT